AACACCAATCAGTACAAAACTGTGTTATGCAAAATGTCCCTGGGCCTGCCAGTAAAAAGCATTTCCGGCAAATTTCATTTCATTTCCTGCCCAAGTTCATGAAACAGCCAATCTAATAGAATAGAAATCTTAAAATATACTGCACTCATACTGCAACTGGATTGACAGCAGTTTCAATTTACATTTTAAGCAGGATAACAGTGCAATCTGTTGCAGAAATGCAGGAATATCTGACAAAGGATTACCCTTGCCTATGCTCTAATACCTATTTTCAGGATAGATACAACAGGCACTTTAAATAACTTGTACACTTTAGATGTGCATTTTTTATGTAGAACAGTCACTTCACTACTGGCAATGTGTACAGAAGACAAACCCCATCATTGTTCATGATTTATTTGAACTGTACATCAATTTTTGCTGACTGCACCAATACAACACTGGAAGTTCACTATCAGCAGCACATCAACAACCTGATAAAAAAAGAAGATGGACTGTTAGAATCTAATTTATAGGCATCAGACAAAGCGATATTGAAAGCATCCATCTCATGCTTTTTTTCTGCGAAAATTCCTCAGTAATGTCTCAATGAAGAATTGCAGGACTTAAGTTACAGAGCTGCACACTGTAGGAGAAAGCTAAATTACAAAGTAACAGACAAACATTTAGTGAATTCAACCTTAGGGTATTTTACTAGTGTGGTTCTGTAAACCCCAGTTCCAATGCCTCACATTTACATGTAACATTTGCTTACAAAGAGTACATGTTTGTGCTAATTAAGGAAAATCAGAAAGTTTGTCAGGGAAAAAACGAGATTTTTTTCCTCATTTCCGTGTTTAAACTAGAAACAGCACAAGCTTGGAAACAAGAAATAATCTGTGAGCAATGACTTTATGCTGTTTTTAAAGCCAACTGCATTTTTTTTTTGACAGCAAGTTACAAACAACTTATGGCAACCATATAGGGTTTTCAAGGCAAGAAACATTCAGCAGTGGTTTGCCATTGCCCGCCTCTACGTAGTACCCCTGGTATTCCTTGGCGGTCTCCCATCCAAATACTAACCTGGGCCAATTCTGCTTAGATCTGAAAAGACTGGGCTATTCAGGTCAGGGCAACTAAAGTATTTTTTGCTAAATGTCAGTAACGAAAGATGGTAGATACTTACCCACTTTATTTTTCTGTTACAGCTGGTGTTTGTTTCTGTTTCTTAGGCCTTAGTTTGAAGTACAGGATGACCATTGCAATGCTTGTATATGTGGCTATTACATACTGAAAACAAAAGGATACTATGAATAAAAGCAAACACATTTCAGAAGCATGCTTTATGGTTATCTGAATGCACACTTACATTCCTTCGGCCAATCAGGGTGTAAGAGTTAAAGTATTTTTGAAACCCTGTGAATTGCGGATGTGATCCAGTATCGTGCCCTGCCATCACTGCTTGTCCTAGATTTAAAAATAAAGATTTAATAGTGTGTCTTTTAACTGTTTTCTTGCCAAAGTGGAAAATTGTGATATAACTACTCACTTTATTCCATTTATCTGTATTTAAGATGAGAGCATTAAACAAACACTAAATCTAGTATTACTAAACAAACACTAAAACGAGTAGTACTAAAACTAGAGAAGGAGCTCTACCAAAAGGTAAGATTCTTTTAAGACCTGCTTCCATGTAAACAGAAGTTACTGTTGATGTGAATGTCCTCTGCCTCAGTATGTTAAGATACAGTGACATGTGGACGGACTAGTAAAAGGTATAGTGACTTCCATGGAATTAATTGCAGAACTGATGTAATAATTAACTGTATTTGAAACTAGAAAAATTCATGTAATAAGTTTGTTAGTACCCCAGGCCAAAATATACCATCGATGTCTAATTTTGATAGGGTCAATGTGCAAAAAGTAGAATAATATAAAGCAACCTTATTTCTCTCAAGTAAAAGAGAAAATAAATGTCTACTCTGGTGAATTGCAGCAAAGTTCTGAAAAATGCATTTGTGAATTTAGGAGCATATATTCTGCATGTTTCCTTGGAAAGCAACAGCCTTCAAGATGTTTCCAAGAAAGGATATGATCTTATACAACACTTTTTTGATGTAGCAGCTGTCATTTTTCAAATCAGGACTTGTGGTACCGCTAGAATATTTCTACTGCACACATTTTTTACCCTAATGAACTGTAACAACTAAGAACCACCTCAATAAATTTAATATCTGCTACATTGAAAGTATTTAATACAATGGCAGCCTTCTATATGCTGCTGCTTCCTAGTTCATTTTCTCAAAAAGTCAGATAATTGATTCCAAATACACCTGCAATCATTGCTGTTCAGCAATATTCCTAGGGAAGAGAGTCGAATCAGGAGCAAATTCAAAACTCATGCAAGGGAGGCAGTTAGCAGGTTCTGGTATGCAACAGCAACTTACTAGAAGCTTCTTGGGTTCAGTTCAAACTCCTTAACTGGACACAAATGCAGACGGAAATTGTTTTGATACTGCAAACCTAAAAAAGGATAAAATGGCACTCATCCTTCATATTTTGAAAAAAGGGAGTAACACATATCTATTTATTACATTTTTATCCAACTCTTCCTCCAAGGCGTTCAGGGTGGCATACGTTGTTCTTTTCACCTCCAATTTACCCCCACAACAATCCAGTAAAATAATTCAGTGACACAACAACATTTCAGGAACACATACACACCATGATGACATGGTAGTTCACAGATCCATTTTGTCCTTACAACAACCCTGTGAAGTAGTTTAGTTGCTACGGTGACCAGTCCAAGATTATCCAAAGAGCTTTATGGTCAGGTATGGATTCGATCCCAGGTTCCAGTCCGTCATTTAACTTGCTCCTCTACACAGACTCACCAGTTACCCACAATCAGGCCCATAGCCCCTGGTGGGGCCCATGGGGTAATGCCTCGTCCTGAATCTACCCCACTGCTCCATGCTCCTGCCATTCTCTGACCCCAAAGAGTCTGCCCCTGTCAGCTCATGCTGACTGCAGCCATGGCTACAGCAGCTGTGGTGTGCAACAGGAGCCTGGGGGGGCACAACACTGCCACAAATGAGCAAGAGGTGCCTGGGTGGGCCACTGTGACAAGCCCCAGAGCAGAGTGGACGGCAGGCATAGCAAGTAGCTTGCCGAACTCGTCGCCCTGACTGCCTTCTCCATGCTGAGAATGCTGGAGAGGGTGGAGAGCCTGGCTCAGCCTAATAAGTGACTGGAGCAATGAGGGAAACCCAGCATAACCCCCCACATGCCTACATCCCTTTCGGAAGTGACATAAGTGTGTGGGGGCAATGCCCCCCATGGATAATGTTCTAGCTATGCGGCTGCCCACCATGCTTAAATGGAACAGACCACGAATTCACTGCACTGTAGGCAAAGCCCAGTCACACATGCATCAATTTACCCATAAAAATATTCACTACACTGAATTACTAGCAATAATAACTGCTCCCATAAAAGAATATCAAAGACGACATACAGATTATGATAGCATACTAGATCATGGTTCCCACCACCCTTAGACCAAGCCACCTGACAAGGATCTGGATATCTCATTTCCGCAATTAAATCAATACTTGGCCTTAAGCAAGATCAGTATGGGTAGCAGTAGCGCAAGAGTCCAGGAGCACCTTAAAGGTAAAGGTTCCCTTGCAAAATATGTTGCAGGGTATAAGCTTTCGTGAGTATCTGAAGAAATGAGCAGTCACGAAAGCTCATACCCTGCCACATATTTTTCTAGCCTTAAACAAAAATATCAATATAAGCCTCTCTCGTATGAGGATAATTATACCGACCTACCCCACAAGTTTGCTGTTAGGATCTCAATAAATAATGTACGGAATGCATACAAGAAAGGGTACTACTAACGAGAGAGAGGAGACATCCGAGACAATGTATCTCACACAAAAACAACTCACGCTTCCACCGAGGCAAAACACCCCGAGCTCACGGACCCTTCTACTCCAGGTAACAACCATTCAATGTCCTTCACGCACAAGATGGCGTTGCTCAGACCTTCCGCTTGCCCTGACGAATAAGGCGGAACGGCTTCAGGAAACTGTCCCTTGATTGGCTAACTGATGTGCTCTTCGTTATCTGTCCCTTCCTCTCTATGACATCCAGTTGTTGCTTAGCGCTACGGTTGCGGGGTGCTCACGGGTATGCTTCCTGTTGACCTTTCCCGGTCTTTACCTTATGGCGTTTTGATTTCCGGGTTACGAAGTCTTATGCTCTCACATGTGCGGCTGAACTACGTAACTGTAGCGTTTTGCTACTCTTGGACAAGGGGAGAAGGTGAGAGGAGCGAGCCTATTGGGTGAGCTGGGAAGGAAACATTGGGAAAGGAAAGGGTGGGATACATGAGCTACGCGATTATTTGGAGAGGTGGTCTAGTGTACTGACTAGAGGGTGGGTTTGTATGCCGCAGAATGTGGGGGCAAGATGGGTTGCACCAATGCAGAACGCGGGAGGAGGTTCCCTTTTTAAAGATGCTGCTGAGTATCCCCATACTAATAAATCTAAGCCGGCAGAGTCGTGTCCCGACTTTTTGTCCCTTGAGCCACTGTTTTTCAGGCATTGAACCTTTTGTTTGGGAAAACTTTTTAAAAATAGTACCTCATACTTACAATATGAAGAGGGTGCCATTTCTTATCCTCAGAATTTCGCCGCCTCAGAGTAGGTAATGTTTAAAAGGGCCTAGAGATGGGGTGCCCCTTCTCTGGATGGACCAGGCTAGCCCGATCTCGTCAGATCTCAGACACTAAGCAAGGTCTGCCATGATTAGTACTTGGAGGGGAGACCACCAAGAAAGTCTGGGGTTGCTGTGCAGAGGCGTACAATGGCAAACCGCCGCTGTTTTCTTGGCTTGAAAACCCAGTGAGGGGTCACCATAAGTTGGTTATGACTTGACTGCACTTTCTGCCACCAGAGATCTGTGATTGATGCTAATGTGCCACCCCAATCTGTCCAGTTTATAGGGTCTTCTGTTTTTTCTCTCATAAAGGTCACAGGAGTATTGTGGCCAAGTGGTGCTTTTGCAAATCTTTTGATGCTGCAAATGCTGACATTTTTAATAGTTATGTGTATAAAAAATGCAACTGAGTACACATTTCATGCATTTGATGGGGAGTGCAAGACCATCAAGCTTGTATGTTTTGCTGTAACAGACTTGAATATGGTTCTTTGGATTCTTGTGGAGCAAAGAGAAGCATGTGTAATCATAAAAATTAGGGAGTGGGTAGTGATTATACGTACGGCCTGCCCTAGCCCTGTTTTGTATAAGAAATCAAATAGGTTTGGTCACTTAATAGTCACCACCTGAAACTATGGTCATTCACCAGTAGTCCGCCTTTTCATTCCTGTTATAGCTATTTATTATTTCTCCAGCTTCTTTGATGTTTTTTGCATCTACGTTTGCCTTTGCTCCCATTTTCATTCCATATTTTGTGGTTGCATCAAAAGTCCCAAGCAAAACAACAACAAAAAACCCCTAACTATGATTGAATTTTTAGATCTACAGGTGAGAAAATTAGGCTCAAATCCTTGTTTAATTATTAACAAAGTATTCCAGTGATAGTCCTTTCTTTAGGTCTACTGTAATAGAAAACAGACACCTATCTGGTTGTCTGTGGTGAGTTAAGTCTTGCCTCCCGGCAACTGCTTTTAAAAAAATATTTTACTCATTTATGGTCTTGCACAGATAAATGTGGGCACATGACAGTAAAAATGTGCAAGACTGGCATGCAGTTTTGAATCTGAGTGGTTTTGGCTCTGTCCTTCCTTTAATCAATGCAGTATCAGTTATTTGAAAATCATGGCATGTAAATAGTTAAAAAAAATATAGCATCTATTCCTTTAATAATTGCATATGCAGAAATCAACAAGTCCTTTCTTGACAGTGATGAGGAAAGCCGCTTTTGCTGATTTCTGCCGCTTAACCAGTTAACGAGGTTATAAGATCTCAGTCTGTAAACTAGATGACAAATTTACATAAAGACATTGCTGAACAATATGAAAGCAGTCAGTGCCTTATGTTTTCTGTCTAGCTGTTATCTTTTCCAACCAGCAAGTGAAGGAAGCTAGTAGTGCAGTGCTTGCAAAGTGTTCTGAGCCGTGGAACTCTGTAGAGGTTATATATAGTGTAGAAAAGTGACTTTTTAACTTCTTTGACACCTAGGGTTCTACCTTTGCCCCATCGGCAACATGAAACGCACTTCTGATTTTTGCTCATCTTCCTTTCCCTTTGGGTGTATCTAGGAGCTACAAAAATACATTTATGTTTTATATTCATTTATCAAGGGAAACAATTATAGAAATTGTAGTTTGATGATGTGCTGCAGTTCTAAGAACTCATTACTAGTCAGTTGGCTCAAAAGGGTGTAACTCTGCTCAGGATTTCAGTATAAGACCTGCAGTACCCTGTAGAGAGTTAATGACTTGTTCTAGTTACTTAAAGTCAGTAGTGCAGCTGTACCATCTCTCCTTTCTTGTCTCAGAATATTGACAAAAACAAAACAATGGTAATAGAGCCACTAGTGTGATTCATGTTGTTATGAATTGACAAGACGACGGGTATAAAATGCATCTGTCTGAGTGCCCCAACACATCAGGGAGAGTTGATTTATTTTAATTAGTAATTATTAAAAATAATTTTTTTATTATACTTAATGCTTTCTGTCATTTTAGACATGCAATTATGTTTGTACATATTTATCTTACCTTTACGGGTAAAGTTTGTTCATGCAGACAATTTTGTGGCTTTCTTCCCAGAAAGACAACCATGTCTTCTATAGAAGAGAACTTCCCTCGAGGGGGCACCCAGAAGACAACACAAGATGGAAAAGCAGCCAAACAGCCAAAAATGGATCAGGATAATTTATTCAAAGTAATGCAAATTATAAACCTATGAAAGGTCCAGTATCCAAGGCACAGTTCTTTCCCAGGCCTGTAACCTCAGATCTGTTTAACTGGAGAGGCCAGGGACTGAATCTGTGACCTTCTGCATGGTGGATTAGACTCTACTTTTAAACTGTAGCCCCAGATTTATATTTCCTATTATATTTAAGAGCTTGGCTCAAGTATGGAATTTAGTACTGTGATTATTTTTCTTAATGAAATCTGGAATCTGACATTGTTCATATTAGTTTAGGATTTTATGTTGAAACCCAATGACATACTCACAAATGGAAGAGTTGGAGAGAAAGATATTGACAAGATATAGGTGCAATTTCATTGTATTCAGTAGTGCTAATGCCCAAGTATTTGCTTATCTCATTTCATGTTGGTGATTCCCAAGACTTGAATGAACATAATGATTTTTCAACATTTCTTTCACTAACCATACTGAGTTACTCTCAAAATGTCTTGAAGCAGAATTGTCTTATGGAGGGCAAAGTGCTTATAATGCAAATTTGTGAAAGCATGTAACCCAGGGTTTAACTAAATTCTGTTAGATTAGAATCTGTATGCATGCCTGTTAGATTTCAAGATTTAAGCCACTCCTCAGATATCCATGTAGAAAATAACATTAGTTTTACATTTTCATTTTCTGTGATATTCTAAGCATGTTATGTTGAAAATGCTTAAATTTCTGATATGCTTAAGCATTTTGAATGTTAGGTCTCTGTGATTTGCTATTCCCAAGGCATTTTCATGTGGGGAATGCAATGGGTCATCTGAACCTTTGACAGATTTTTCTTCAATAGATTAGATATTATTCCTGTGATTGTGACTGAAAGTGTATTCATAATAGTAGCCTTCCTTAATTATTGTCAATGCAAATTCAACCCAGGAGAAAGACTGCACATTCACATGAGGAGGTTTTGAGTTTCAGAATCAGTCTTTACTTGCAATGAAATTAATCTGTTGCATAGGGAAGCATCTGTCCTTGTGTATATGTTAAGTTTTTTTAAAAAAATCTGTTTTAGACACATGAAGAGCAAACTCCGAAAAGAAAGAAAACCCAGCAAGATCAAGCAAAACCAAAAAAACTCAAGACAGAGAAGAAAGCAGTTTTAAAAACCAATGCAAAGGATTTTGAACTTCTGACATCTGAGGTTAGGCATATTTTTTTATAATGTTTTGATCCTCAAGAGCTATATTTCATATTGTATCCTAGGGATCAGTTGTAGATTATACACTATAGTGGTCTTGGGAACTAATCTGTATATTATCTAGAAGGTGATTGTAAACTTCAAGGCTCCTTCAGGATCATCCATGTCATGGTCAAATGTGTAAAACATCTGGGATATGCTTGTCTCCCATAGTCACTCATTGTTTGTATTCATTCAACAGTCTCTCACTAATGGAATGCTGGTCTTGGGCTGTCTGAAAGAGTGTAATGAGTATGAGCTTACAATCAGCTTACCAAATGGGCTTTCTGGAAATGTACAGGTGACACGCATATGTGAGGCTTACAGCAAAATGCTGAGTGAGCAGGTGGCCACAGATAAGCCAGTAGAGGTAAGACATGGTGAATGATGATGATCGAATTCTGCAGGTACCAATCAAGATTCCCAGAAGCGGATTTCTTCTTTTCTTTTTTAAAATTTCTATTATACTTTAAAAATTAAAAATTGAAACTAATCTATATAGATCCGGCATTTAAAAAAAATTCGCCATGTTGCTCTAAATAGTTCAATATAGGGTACCAAATAGACTCAAAATCTGATTTATACTTCTCAAAGCAGGTTTCTTCTATTCTACAGGGAATTCCTGCTCTTCTTGCCTGCTCTGTTGCTTCCTTTTGCTCTGCGTAGTCTGTCCTGAAGCAATGGCATACAGTTGTGCTGCGATAAGATATAAAGAATCAATTAGATGTTATATATACCCAATTGTAGTCTAAAAGCAATCATATTCTATGTTCCATCTTATCTGTTTTATATGTCAATGAAAGACTGATTGATTGACTTAATATTTAATGCAGATTTTGGTCAGCTACTATAACAATTGACACCCAGTAATATTGCATATTATTGTGCGTTTACTGTTTTGCACAATACAAGAAGTTCTGAATGC